TTTTTTTGTTGTTGTTGTTTCGTAATATAACATATAACTAACGAAAAGGTATTATTATGAACAATAAATCTGAATTCATATTATACCTCATTTAGTATATAAATAGTATATAAAAAATCACGAAACAACTAAAAATAAAAAAATTTTTTTTTTATATTACCTACTTACCCTATAATAATTATATATATATTATTATCATACGACACGGCATATAATATACCATATGTGGGCTTTTGGAGTAGATTTTTGAATACATTAAAAGTATCCTCGTTATAAGTTACTATATTCTCGATTTCGATATGCAATATATCCAGATGCCATGATTTTTTCTTCATCTCTTTTTGAATCATGCCACTTACAAATGCATCCAAGAAAGGGTCAATTCGTTTACTTTAAACGTAAATCGAAAAAAAAATCACCATTGAAAATGACTTTTACCGCGGTAACTGATATGTAAGTTTATCAAAAAAAAAAACGGTTTTTTTTACGCTCCCAGATGCATAGTACATGAACAATGCTAATTTATATAAGTTTACACCACTTGTAATATTTACACCACTTACACTATTTACAACGCTTATACTATTTACATCGCTTACACTACTTATTATTTACATCGCTTACACTACTTAGTATTTACACCAATTACACTATTTACACCAACAACTCCGTTATAAATTAAAAGTACATTAAAATACAATATAAAAGTGATTAACTTTATTAACTTGAGATGAAAGAGATTAACATTCGGTGACGATTTGATCATTTAATCAATTGATGTGATTACACGATTTTCATTCATTCTCCGAATCACCATTATATTTTATCAGTAATATAAATCTGAGTTTTCTTTGTAAAAAAAAAAAAAAAAAAAAAAAAAAAAAAATACTAGTAAATATTAAGAACCTTTGTGAACTATAAAAGTCTAAATTTAAAATGTGACTTATATTACACAAGAATGATAGAAAAAAAAATTTTAAACCCGCGCGAATCGCGTTATACTTATTTAAACAAGTTTATTTACCTTTTTATTTATGGTGGATAAAAAAACCTTCAAATACTTTTTATGCACAACATGAACATAAAAGAAAAAAGGAAAAAATGCGTAATATTTGTCACGTAAACAATTGCATGTGTATGAGAAATAAAATCGCGGGTACTTTTTCCGAATACATACAAAATTATCATTCATCTTTCATCAATATATTAAAAAAGCATTTGATGTAATGCAATTAATAATCTATAAGAATTTTAATGAGCTCATTGATGTGTAAGTAGTAAGATTTGATATTTTTTTCATGTAATACAAAAGGATACATGATTAGATATAGAGTACAGATAAAAATCCGTATTATAAAAATATGTAATATAAAAAAAAAAAAAATTTTTCATTTTTTTTTACGCTTACTTACAAAATAACTTCTTGTTATTTAAATTTAGAAATATTAATTTCGAATCTCCCGCTTTTTTTTTTTTTTT